GACAACCTAAACTATGACATCTGCTCTACTGGTGAGCCCAAATGATAGACTCTCTATCAGTTATGACTCAGGAACTGAACAAAACTAAAAGGCTTTCTATGAACTACTTAAAAAAAACCACAGTTTTTTTATTTAAACACAATAAAAAGGCATAGGAGGAAATCCTGAAAAGACCAAGGGTGTTTTTAAATCCACCTCACCATAATGGACAGGTCTGATGGAAACCCACACATTTCTTTTTTTACTCTGCTCTGCTGCTGGACTATGTCGATTATCAGTTTATTGACGCGTGCCAACCCAACTCTGTCCTTTAACAGAGCTGACAAATCAACATAATGATTTCTGTTAATTATTTGCTCAGATTAAGTAGACAATTACTGAAAAGACGCTCAGATGGCAGAGGCACTGTTGTAAAGGAAAGCCGATACCGCACAACACTGGTGTTGGAGAATGAACTGTAGTTGACTTTATCGACCTGTGTTAAGATTTCATTTCCCTTTCTGCTTTGGAGAAAGTCAGTATCTGCAAGGGGAAATGATCCGAATTCCAGTTCATTGTTGTTGGATCACAAATAACAGCGATCCCACTTGACTATCCTTTCATTTGAAAACTGGCATCATCATCAGTATGTACAGTACATGTCCCTCACATGCGCCGTATGGAATCTTCCAACTCTGAACCTCTGAACAGTACGCGTCCAGAAGCTCCACAACACAACTGTATTTTGTTGTGTTTTAGAATATTCAGACACATACATCGCAGCACATATTGCACCGTTTTAAACATACAATGAGCGTGGAAACACTGTACAGGGGGCAACAAAAGCAGCCTTTACACTCTTGGGCGACATCACAATGCACAGAAACAAAACATCCATCCATCCATTATCATAACCGCTTATTCCCTAATGCGGTCGCGGGGGGACTGGAGCCTAACCCACCGGTCAATGGGCGAGAGGCGGGGTACACCCTGGACGGTCCACCAGTCCATCGCAGGGACACACAGAGACACACAAGGACCAACAACCACTCACACTCACACTCACTCACTCCTAAGGGCAATTTGGAATGTCCAATCAACCTAACATGCAGGTTTTTGGACGGTGGGCCGGAGAACCCAGAGAGAACCCACGCAGACACAGGGAGAACCTGCAGACTCCACACAGAAAGGTCCTGGTTCCCCAGGAGACTCGAACCCAGAACCTTCTTTCTGTGAAGTGATGGTGCAAAACAGAGAGATGGAATTTCACAATAGATATAGGTGGATCCAGCCCAAACGCATACATGCAACACCATTTTAGAAGGTAGCCCAGAACACACAGGAGCAGGTAGCCTGACGGCACGTTCACTGTTCCAGTTTGCACTGTCAGCTGAATGCATGAAAATCAGAACAAAGAACACCTGTACACACACACACACACACACACACGCACACACATACAGACACACACACACACACGCACACAAACACACACACACGCACACACGCACACACACATACACAGACGCACACACACACACACAAATACACACACATACACACACATACACACACAGTATATAATTTGAAAGGCACATCTTCAAGTGATAGCCTGAGTCAATGAGGTGCAGCTAAACACTAAAGGTCCCTTTTACATTTCTGAATGGACTTTTAAGACTTTCCATCACATCGTAAACTGATTTGGTCCAAACTTTAGGGAATCTATTTTAAGAAATTGTTTCATTGTGTGTTCCAACAATTAAAAAGTAAATGTTAAATTACCCAATCATTTCAGGGATTTAGCTGTTTTAGGTTCTGCTGGACTAAGCATTGTGAGCATCATGGAGCCCTCCCATCATTCAGGCCCACTGACCTTTGGCTTGTCCCACATACCCATGTTGGGTATTTTACCCTCTAACTTTGCTAACTACACAACGTTTACCACTTTGCATCATTTTTAATGCTGATACCAGCTAGGTTACCAGCCTGCTCTGTTGCATCAAAGTCTGACCAGCAAACTTTTCCTAATTTCCTAATTCGGATTATAATGGCCGACAGGGTTAAACAGAGACAACCAACCACACACGCTCACATTCTCTCCTGGGGCGATTAAGAATTTCCAGTTAACCTGACACGGGGGTTTTTGGATGGCACGAGGAATCCACAGTACCAGGAAAGATCCACATATGCTGAGGGACAACATGGACACAGCACACACAAAGGCTCCAGGGCTAAAGGGCAACATGCCAAAAGAAAATATCTACATATGAAAATCCACACAGTATGACCACAAATGCACTGCAGATATTTCCAAAAAGTGTCTCTCCACTAAATGAATCGGGCTATTATGGTTCATCGTGGAAAGCAATTAACCGAGGACCACTGTGTCTTTAACTGAAGTTACAGGAAAGCTACACTGGAAGATATCAGTCATTTTATATGAACCGCTGTGTATCCAAAACCGTTTAAAAAGATTTTACAAATCACGTGCTGAGATCAGTGATTTGAAGAAGTGTCAGGTGCTCTATACATCACCAACTAAAGCCAATTGATACGTTTGTGAAATAAAGTTGTTTTCTCCTTTATTTTCAAGCAAAGGTTAAACATTTTACCTCTTGATAATGAGATAGTCGGTCCTTAACCTGTGGGGTATGCTGTCGTTACAGCTACTAGTGGCTCCGAATGACCAGAACACAAAAAAAATGTCTCACCAACTATAGAATGTATGGAATAATTCATAAAACACTGTTTATTCGAAAGAGGATAAACTTATTTTCTCATCCACATCATGCCCTTTAATATAGAGCAGTTCATCTGCTTTCTGTCAGCTCCAGACCATAACAATAGTTAATAAAGTGACTGATTCTATTTGACCTTGGATAAAAACATGGGAGAACGCTTTAAAGTTAGACAGGTGAATTTAAAGGATACATTTAAGGCACATGTACCTGGCAAAGGGATCTGGCTTATCGGAATATATTACTGCCAACATACAGCAACAAGACCGAGGTGCCATTTTTCTGTATGTTAGGACACAAAAACCTGTCTTTGAGTTTTTTTGAGTACAATCAGACAGAATTTGTCTGACATCTTGTGGGTCGTTTCGGTAACGCAGTGAAGGTCAAGTTTGGCTCGGATCAGCGTGCGTTGCTGAACCCTTTTCAAGGCCAAGATCAGGAATAGTCGCATTTATTATTACTCGGAGTAAGCAGAACGGGCATCATCACACCAGGATGTCGACTTGCTGGCTCTGCCTCCCACTCCTGGCTCCCACCCTGTCCCACATTACGTCATGGAGACCCCCCCCCCCCACCGCCCCCAGCTCCTCACGAGGCGAAGCATGCACCTGCAGCCCGGAGACACCGGACATGTCTCCTCACAGGATCCTCCCCAGGTCTGATGCCTGTAAATAAACGGCCATCTAGGTCCGAGCACAGCAGGTTAAAAGGCGGGGCTCCCCCCCCCCCCCCCCCCCCCCCCCCCCCCCCCCCCCCCCC